AAAGTTTCGAGATAAGAAGTGCAAGTTTGTTTGGGATCTTATTCCAGGATGTATTGTTTGGTGCGTGTGGAGAGAAAGAAACGGCCAGTGCTTTGAAGATCAAACACGGATGATAGAATATTTTAGAGAATTGTTTTATTCGACTTTGTTTAGTTAGTTTAATGATGCAACCACTAGTCCGATAGAATGGTTGCCTAATTTTTTATTGTTCATTTCTTGTTTAAACTGATAATGCACTCCTTGTGTGTTATCTTTTGATTTTGATTTATAAAATACGTGATTACCTATAAAAAAAAAAATAAATGTTCATAGTTTACCCTGTCAAGTTAATTTGATTAGAGATCGAAAGACTTATCTGATTATCAAATGGGAACTTGGCTTCATTTTTGAGTCAAGTTGGAGCTAAAATTTTGCTAGATATTTGGTAGATCTTTCATTTATGTGATGAAATTTTTTCCTTCAATTGCTCAAGGTTTTTTATTTTCCTGCATCTGCTGTCGCTCAAGTGTTTTATGCTTGTCCAATAAATGTATACAATACTTAGAAAAAACTATATTTTCTTGTTATTACTTCTCTCTCAATAAGAAACGATCCAGCCACAACTTTTTATGTCCTGTTATTAGTTCGATTGTTGAGCACTATATAAGTGAACAATATATTTAGGACATGTTTGGCAGGCTTCAACTTCTCGTAGAAGAGCTTCTTGAGGAAGCTACCTTAATTAGTGTTTTGAAACTCAGTTTCTAAAAGAGCTTTCTATTCCGGAGAGCTTTTAGGGGAAAGCCACGTTTGATCAGCTTCCTCAAAAAGTTCTTTTAACTAGTAGAAAGATTTTTATAAAATTAACCAGATAGGTCCAAAAGCAACTTTTGAGTTTCAAAATCTCCTTTTGTCTTTTCAAAAGCCATTTCAAATGGATCCTTACAGTGTTTGTAGAGAGTATAAATCCTTGCTTTCTAACTGATGAAAGGTGTAGAGAGGTTTAAGGTGAATTCCTGCGTCTTATACTTCATCTAGGGGTTTGTTTCACTTTTGAAATTGAAAACTACAAGTTTTTCAGGATTTCAATTTGCAAGTATTGGATTAATGCTTTTAGACTGTTAGAGTCGAATTACATCCTTGCTTTCATATTAAAATTTTGCTATTATCATTAACTTCTCTAACGACTAATGCGACAGATGCCTTTGCCTTTCACAGTTGTACCAACGGCCCTCAGTACTGCAATGGATATTAATC